CTGAACCTGACCTAAGCACAGCTAAAATCTGAAAAAGATCTGTAGGCATGTTGCCAGATGCCACTTCTGCTAGGGCTTGGGCTTTGTTTCTCTTTTACTTGGGAGACACAATGTGGGTATAAGAAGCCAATAAGAAGGTTGAAAAACTGTTTATGCAAAGAGAATTAGAAATGCCATACACAGAAGCTTGCTGAGAGGAGTTTGGGATGGAAGACTGAGAGGAAACGAGACCCTATAGTCAGAGGACAGGAGGAAGAATCATAGGAGGGGACTAGCTGGAAGGATGTGAAACTTCTGTTGGGGGAAAACTGCCAGCAGGGAAAGCAGGTGGTAATTCAGTCCAACTTTTCCCTCTGGGATATGTACTGGAAGCTGAAAAACCAGTCTCTGGTTCTGAAAAGGAAGAGTGTGAGCCTATTATTTGAGCCAATATCTAGGCAGACCTTGAGAGACGCAAATTTAAACTCAGCAGACCAGGAAATGAAGTAGTAAAGAAATGCAAATAATATTCATCTGAAAATCAGATTAGGTGCTGCCAGGTAAGGACTGGTTTGGTGGGGAAGGGAGGCTGAGGAAAGGCTGGAAAACCTGCCTGACTCAAGGGCAAGTCTAATAGGGATGTAAGGTCTCGCTTGGCTTACAACTCGGGGTTGGCACATTAGAATCCATGCATTAGATTGCTACCTGTCAGATATGTAATGGCATCAGACAGTGACAAAGAGCACAGAATTTTTTTTTTTTCCCTATTTTCTTCTTCCCTCTCAGGCCTGATGAGCAGTTACATGCACATCACTTTGCTTCTCTTGTTCTCTCTTTACCTACAAGACAAGAATGTATTTCCTTTCTAAAAGACATACAGATCGAGGATGAAAGGGGAGGATACCAGTGACTAGCTACAATAATGTTCCAGGTGCATACCTATGTGGTGGCTGTAATTTCTTGAAATAGTCGAAGTTCAGACATTGTTTCTTTTTCTCTCTATTTAAAAACAAAATCTGCAAGAGGCATTTCAGCATGGAAAAGGTTCTCAGTTTGTGGTCACCCTGTCACGTTTTCTTCCAGTATGTCAGTGGGACATAGACTTCCGAGAACCAGGAAATCCAGAGCTACGGCACATCAGCCCACCCTGAATTCTGTCCTGTTTGAGCAGTGATTCAGTCTTCCCATGCAATACGTACGCAGGACCACACACATCATTCCTGACACAGAGCAGCTGACGGCTGTAGCACAGCTCTGTTAAAGGAAAACCTGCGTTCAGGTGAGTGGTACTGCAAGAGCATTCCCTGTGTGTGTGCGTGTGTGCATTTCCGTTGAGTATGCTGCACCCAAACGCTGAGACACAGATCCCTGAAACAACTTCATGTACATTAATTCTTTGTCCTCTTTCACTTGCGCACCTACAAGATCAGATATAGAGGCAGACTTTCAAGTTGCCCACCATATACCTCACAGGACCCACTCAAGCAGTGCCCTCAGCCAAAGGAGCTGGGGATTTACCACTGATGGTGTCTGCAGCAAAAGGAGGCTTGTGGGCTCCCTCGTAATAAACACGCCTCTCTTTCTTTTGACCACACACAACTCCGCTACCATCTCATGCCACTGATGCAATAGGTTTGCCTACAAATAAATGCCAGTAGCCATTGCAAGCTCCCAGTGCAGCCTTAAGGTTGCATTAGTAGGTGCCTCAGTTTTGTACGTGCTAGTTTTCAGAAGTTTAATTATCACTGAACTTGACTTCCTGCAATGACATGAGATACCCACGAGGCAAACTTAACTTTACGTTAGCAAAGTTCTTTGTCAGCAAATTTAGACTAATTCATTCATGGCTGTCATACCAAAAAGCCGCCTAGATCCATCAAATCCTGTATCTCAGCAGAGTCCTGAACAGGTACAACTATTCACGTGCAGTCAGCAAAATTACTAATATGTATATTGTTTACAATCTTTCTGCGAGGCCTGCACTTGGAGCAGTGACAGCTGCATTCTGATATTCACAAATAATCACCAGCTCAGGCTCTTACTCAGGAAAATGGGGAAATTAAATAAAACTGTGGTGCACAATAAAAAAAATTTGTTATCCACGAGTGATGAGTCAAAAAAAAAAAAGAACTCAGGTATTATTTTACTGGGGGAGAGAAAAGCACAACAGGTAGTAGGAAAGGGAAGGGAAGAGAAGGCTTTACAATGTACAGCCCTTTTTAGCATAAATGCTCCAATAGATGATGTATTTTCAAATGCAAAATTAACATGTTTCAGGCTTCAGCCTCCAGGTTTTTACATATGTCCATTTGTATTATAGGTACTCATTTGTTTATGTGGGTATATATAGTCTAATGCTTGTGAGCTTCAGTCATGGGCCAGTTTGAGCTAGACACTACAAAAAGAACAAAAAGATGGTCTATAAAGTAGACAACTCATTGTTTTACCGTAAAGCAAGAGACAACAGATGTATGCAGACAGAATCCCGGGGGAGGGCAAGAAAACTATGAGTCAGTATTACTCAAGAGGATGAGCAGTTGTCTCAGTGCACCAGAAGTCTAACCCTGAAAAAAGTTTTTTGTAGGCTTTACAGGAAAAGAGAGTTTTTGAGGAGGAATCTGAAGGAAGGTAGCAAGATGGCTTTGCAGATATTTATGGGAAGGGCTTCCTACACAGGAAGGGAAGCCTGGGAGAAACGCAAAGCGGGTTAACTTGCGGTCATTGAAAGCCTGGCATTGTTTTCTGATCAAACGAGGAGACTTACTTCTTCACAGCAAAGGAGAGCAAATAAGATATTTTCACGTGTGAGTTCTTGGGCCTGCAGTGTTCTCGAGCCTGAGGCCTTTATGCCTGCAGCAGTTTTGACTGAAGAAATGTCAGTAACCCAACTTCAGAATAACTTTTTGCAAATACACTCAGGTGGATATGAGGTATCTTGTGTTTAACTTGGTCATTTTTGTAGTTTTGAAAAGATTTATGAAGTACTTTATATAAATACTATAAGGATCTTGTTAATTGCTATGGGCTTTTCTGAGATAAGTCACGTATATATAGCAATAAAGATGTCTTCTATCACACGTGAAGACTCTTGCCACAGTGTCTTCCATTTGTATCTTCTCATTCATAGCCTTGGCGTCCATCCTTTGAGCGTATTTTTCTTGGGATATAGCGTTCAAACTTGAGTTTATCTATGCCTTAAATTTCTTATTTTCCAATGCCTTTAAGGGTAGTCAAACAGATTATTAGAACACCAGCACAAAATGGGCTAGAATATTTTGGTAGGTGCAAAAGTATCCTTAACACGCTTCAGCTAATAAAATGAGAAGTTTCTTATGAAATTTTTCTTTCAGAATTAGATACATTATTTTATGAAAGTCGGCTCATCACACTATCTGAGAGAATCAGTGCGTATACTTAGAATATACTTAGAAGGTTTCTATTTGCCTTGTTTGTGACCAGTAGGAATCTGACAATTAACCTGAACTTTAGGTTAGGCCCTTAAATAGCGTCTGGGGAGATCAAGGTATAGAATTTATGGTCTCCTTAAGCCAGGAAGTTTAGAAGTAGGGCTATCTAGTTACTTATTCATTATGTGGGATTTGGTTTTGTGTGGTGGCATGAAGCCAAAAAAGGGATTTTTCTCCACGTATGTGTCACGGTATGAGCCAAAGTTTTTGCCTCAGTATTTTTATTTGCATAGGAAGAGACCTCTCCTGCTGACTACTAACAATGGTACTAGGACCAGTTTCATCTGAGGAAAACAGTCTACTAGTTCACTTGTAGGAGAAACAAAAAAGCAATTCCTGAGCAGTTATAATTTGTCTTGTAAATCACCCTGACCCTATCCATATTCCCACCTACAAACAAAGAACTAACCACCACTTAGGAATACCCCATTCACATAGGAAGACCCCAAAATTGGTGTTAAATTATGTCAAGTATGCTCTCTTGCATTCATCATTTTACCCTGTTCTATTACATAAATGGTCAAGGTAGTTTTGATGCTCTCAGACCATAGTAATCTATATTTAGTATGCATTACTACCTGTTTGTAACGAGTAGGAAAAAGGAACGGAAAACCTTGGTTCCTTCAAGAACAGCAAGTGCATACATTTTAGGCAATTGCTACTGACTTCAGAAGAAGAAAACCAGGCCTTGATTATGGTGAAGACTGTAACGTGGAGAAGAAAGAAACCTTCCTGGAAGTAATGTACAGTAATGGAGCTAATAAAAAGTTGTTCTTTGAGTATGCTTTATTTTTGTGTTCTAGGCCTATTGCTATCATATCCAGCATCGCCAGCTATTTGTGATGTCAAATATTTCTACCGAGTCTTCTCTTAAATTACACTGGTAGAGAATAGCATGGTCCATATCATGTAGTCATGGTGAATTTACTTGATTTACTCAGTTTTTAAGGTTATATATTTGAATGAAAGAAATGCTGGATAATCTGCATCCAGTGGGCCCTAGTGATTTCTCTAAGGTTTGAACAGCTGTGAAAGAAAGCAGTTTGTTCTTACAGGAATGGAAGGAAAAGGATGTGTGCAGTTTCAAGAAAGATTATACATTTTCAGCCACTATGGCAAAAAGAAGGAATTACTATAGGGATTAAATCCTTAAGTGATTCACAAAATAAAATGAAAACAATGGTTCGGTATTAAAAAACTACTTACAAGACATGACGTCAACCCTGTTGAGTTAAAAATTGATCTACTAAAATTGCATCCCTTCTGAATAAAATGGACAAAAAAAAACTTGTTTTGCTATTCTATATCTTAACAACACCAAAGATGATTACAGAGATAACAAAAAGATGGTGGAACGCTCAAGACTCCCAGTTAGCATCAGTTTCGGTAACGGTCCTTTTCTTTAGCAAGTGCTACGGGTAGCTGCAAATTAGAGCATTTGTTTTATCCAGCTTCTATAATCTTCCAATTTACAGTGGAAAAATCTATCAAAATAAGTACAATTAATGACAAAAACACCCCAGGTTTCGGAGGGCCGGTTCACCAGCCGAACTGTAGAGGTGCCTCCACGCGAGTTACGCGCCAGGCAGGAGGTTG